TAGAGGCTTCCATACTTCCCATATTTGTGTCCTCTGTCACTTTTATCAGCAGTTAAAACTGTTTAATCCGTTAACATGTCATAACCTGTTTTTCCGAGCCGCCTTTAAACGCAACATGAGCGCTACGACGCTCGCGCTGGGTTTACACCTGTCAAGGAGACCTGCTGCTGCTGTGTGGAGCTACGTAGGTTTGTGTTAGAATCACGGCGGCAAACCAGCAAAACGCAAAGAACCTTTCACAGTTTTTCCCTCCAAACTAACCGACTGAGTTGAGTAAAGCTGTTGGATGCAGGTAATGTTAGTTAAAAGATGACTAGCTAATATCAATACAGAACCTTCAGCTTAACAAGCTTAACAAGTACCTTGTAGGCTACCGATGTTGGTGTCTATTTTCAGCTACGTACATTCATTTTGCCCCCAAAAAAGTCGATGCCCCCCCCCTTCACACGCGTCATTTCAACCAGACAGCCATTTGTAATCCATGGGAGGGTGTGGGGGGGGCGCAGAAAATGTTTGGAAACCACTGGGGGGACGCAGAAGAAAAAGTTTGGGAACCACTGCTCTAACTTTTCGAAAAATTGAAAACTTTGGGTTGTTTCGAGACAAGTTGTGGACAAACCGTAATTCGTATCGACGTACTGTCTTCATTTTAGAAGAGATCATGGACATTTCGACAAACTGAAGTTTGAATGGCATTTCTACGTGAATTCATGATGGCACAGTAATTCGTCAAAAATAGTGTATTTTTAAGATTTTCTGTCCCCTCGCTCCATTGACTTATGGAGGAGGGGTTTTTGGGGGTCTTCTTTTGCAATTTATGTTGCCATGGTAACTCCGAATCCCACCAGAAGTAATAGCTCCCCCTTCTGGGAATCGAGCCGCAATTTTTGATACCATATTTGTGGGGGTGCACGCAGCGGTACGAGCCACATTAACGGTGATGGAAGAAAAATAAATAATAAAGAGACATTCTATTGGGTGTAGAACAATAGGTGCCTGCCATGCAATGCATGGAGGCAGTGACTGACTTGCAAAGCAAGTCAGTCACTGCC